CCACTGTGAAAAATTACCTAATTGAAAAGAAATTAGACCTTAAGTGCCTCCTGGTATTAAACAATGCTCCTGGTCATCCTACAGACTTGGCAGAGCGACTTTCTGGGGACATGAGCTTCATTAAGGTCAAGTTTTTGCCTCCTAATACCACTCCTCTCCTGCAGCCCATGGACCAGCAGGTCATTTCCAACTTCAAGAAACTGTACACAAAATAGTTTAAAAGTGCTTATAGTGACCACAGAAACTCAACTGACTCTAAAAGTGTTTTGGAGAGAGCACTTTAATATCCTCAATTGTGTAAACCTTATAGGTAAGGCTTGGGAGGGTGTGACTAAGAGGACCTTGAACTCTGCCTGGAAAAAACTGTGGCCAGAATGTTGTAGACAAAGGGATTTTGAAGGGTTTGAGGCTACCTGAGAAGCCTATGCCAGTTGAGGAATCCATTGTGGCACTGGGGAAGTCCTGGTTGGAGGTTAGTGGGGAGGATGTGAAGAGTTGGTGGAGGAGACAATGAAGAACTAACCTGATGAGCTGCTAGATCATCTTCAACAGCAAGAGACCAGACCTGAGGAAACTGCTTCAGGGGGGAGAGAGAACATTGAAGAAGTTGTCTACTTCAAGATTAGGAAATATGGCAAAGTGGCTTGAAGTGCAAACCTTTATGGATGAAATCACCTCATGACAGCTACTGCAAGCATGTTGGCAACTGTACACTGCAATGTTGTGAACCACCTTTAGGAAAGTCATAAAGGAACGAGAGGTACAGACCTCTAGGACAGATTGTTGTGCGAACAAGATCAGATGACTCTCAACCTGGTCTTAGTGGCATTAAAAGAAGAAGGGAAGTAACCCCGGAAAAGGACTTGCTACCTCAAGTCCTAATGGAGGGGGATTCCCGCTTCACACACGGAGGGCCCGGGTTCGATTCCCGGCGGGTGGAAACATTCGACACGTTTCCTTACACCTGTTGTCCTGTTCACCTAGCAGCAAATAGGTACCTGGGTGTTAGTCGACTGGTGTGGGTCGCATCCTGGGGGACAAGATTAAGGACCCCAATGGAAATAATGACGCACTGACTTTCTTGGGTTATCCTGGGTGGCTAACCCTCCGGGGTTAAAAATCCGAACGAAATCTTATCTTATCTTATCTTATCTTACCCCTTCTAAATGCTAACACCATCCACACTCTCCTCTCCTCCCATCCCATCAATCATCACCAGATCTTCATTAAAGGTAAGTGTCAATTATTCTTTTGTTATTTATTGTTATTGTAATTATTCTATTGCATTAAACTTAATATTTCATGTGGTAAAAGTTTTTTTTTTTCATACTTTTGGGTGTCTTGCACGGATTAATTTGATTTCCATTATTTCTTATGGGGAAAATTGATTCGGTTTCCAATAATTTTGGTTTGCGATGAGCTCTCAAGAACGGATTAATATTGCGAACCGGGGGTCCACTGTATATTGCTATGTGTGATAATCTACGTAACTATTTGTGTACACCTAAATAAACTTGCTCAAGCGCATTTGGCGTCATAAGTAAGTTTATTTAGGTATACACAAATAAAGTTACATAGATTATCATACATAGCAGCATATGTTTGGAGAACCTGGGATAACCCAAAAAATAAGACACTTATTTCCATTACGGTCCCTGTGCCTTGTACCATATGGTACATTGTGCCATATGATACCATTGTATATGGTACCATTGTACCATATGGTACCATTCCAAATGGTACAATGTACCATATGGTTCAGAACCATAGAATTCCTCTTCAGATACACTTCCATCAGTCTTAGAACTATACATTGGGAAGAGGAGAGTCAGAATTCGCCCGGGGAGTGAGAGCTTCCTTGCCGCCAGGGATGGTGAACAAAGCTACTTTGGCGGGGTTCCCACAATGCCATGTGGGCATCCAGATTTTTTGTATAGTGCGCACACTGACCATACAGACCCATTCTCTTAGATGTAGACTACCAGCCTCCTCGAGCTAAATTTGAGGCCCCTAGAATTTTGGGGTAGTTCTATGGTTTGGACCCACAACCGTAGAACTGTGGCATGGACCCTGAAAGGGTTAAGGACATTTGCGCAAAGTGGAGGGAGGTGCAAAGTTTTGTGGAGAAATACCACCCTGACCAAGCTGAAACAAGCCATATCTGCAACATGTTCAGTGACAGAACCTTGTCCCACTTCAGACAAATCTTAGAGACGCCAGAAACAGACCTCTCTGGACAGATATTTTGTGCGACAAGGGTCCAGTGACTCTCAAGCTGGTCCTAGTACCATTAACCTTTAAACTGTCCACACATAGATATACTTTCACATGCGGTGGGTTCCAAACGTAAATCAACATTTTATTTTTCATTCCTTCAGATTTGGTGCGAAAGGCCTGAGTTGCCTAGACATGAAAGAATGGGACTGTGCACTCAGTGTGCGCACTATGAAAAAATCAGGGAGCACTTAGTACCTTGTGGGAGCACCAGTTCAACTGAGCACCAGCTGGAGCAAATATCATGGCAAACACCAGTGATTCACTGATGTCATATCATATAAACACTCACATTTTAAGAGGAAAGTAAAAGTAGGTTAGATAAATGCATGAGTGGGTGTGGGTGGTGTGAGTTGGACCTGACTAGTTTGTGCTACTAGGTCAGATTTCATGCTCCTTTCAGTGGATGTGGCCTGACTAAGTGGGTCATTGGTCTAAGCCGGGGTGACATGGACCTGCTTTGCATGGGCCAGTAGGCCTGCTGCAGTGTTCCTTCTTTCTTATGTTTGTATGTATTCGACTGGCTAGCTGGCTGGCTTTGGCTGTCTCTGTATCAGTCTATATCTCTGTCTGTCTATATCTCTGTCTATCTGTCTGTATCTCTGTCTATCTGTATATCTCTACCTATATCTCTGTATCACTGCCTATTTGTATCTCTGTCTATATCTCTGTCTCTCACATGTACTCATAAATACAATTATACATAATGTAAATTACCTAGGATAACCCAAAAATTCCAGGCCAAGTGCTATACAGTGTTTGTAGATATAAGACATAAATAAACGTGACGCAGATAATAGCAGTGTTATTTGCACAGCAATCAGGGAGCAGCCCATACACCACAAACCAACAGGTTTACTAGCCGCTCCCTGAGACAGAGACAAGCAGATGGAAAGACAGACACACACACAGGCAGACAGAAAGACAGATAAGTAGAACTAGACAGATAAGCAGAGCTAGACAGATAGGTAGACAGACAGATAGATGTATAGATAGACAGACAGATAGGTGTACAGATAGACAGATAGACAGACTGACAGACAGACATACAGAGACATGTTTGTGTGCAAGAGTAAAAACATATAAAGGCAAGGTTCCCTCCAGCAGGGCACATTCATCAAATGTCACTTGCTATCTGACGCCTGTCATAACGCTATTATTCAAGGAGTTCATATTATACTCCAGGCATACACACAAGACAGATAAGCTGAACGGGACAGACAGATAAGCAAAGCTAGGCAGACAGACACACAGATTGATGTACAGATAGACAGACAGACATAGATGTACAGATATACAGACAGATAGATGTATAGATATACAGACAGATAGACAGGCAGACAGATAGGCAGACAGGTAGACTGATAGACAGACATATGAAGACATGTTTGTGTGCAAGAGTAAAAACATATAAAGGCAAGGTTCCCCCCTCCAGCAGGGCACATTCATCAAATGTCACTTATCTGACCCTTGTCATAAAACCATTCAAGGAGTATCATACTCCAGTGTGTCTAAAACATTGCTGGGACCTATAAAAACTTTGTATATATTTCTAGAAAATAGTAAATGACCAGGGCAGGTGAAAATGTTCACCTGTCAGTGTGATCGTTACAATTTGAGTACTATTTCAGTACATAATATTAGTGTCAGAACAAAGATTGGCCATGAAATCACAAAAACTATTATAAATTCTAATTATCAGAACATAAAAATTGTATAAATTAAAATAAAAATGAGAAAAAAAGGTAAATTGGCAACACTTCTGCAAGCGGCAGGACTGGATGTTGGCGTCAGCTGAGCATCCAGAGCCAACTTCACAGTCTTATATCTCAGTAAGTACTGGTCCTAAATTTTTTTTTTTTTGGTCTTATACCACATGATCTTTTATTTTTCAAAATATTTGGAGCACCATGCAGGTGAACGTAATTCTACGTTTGGACAGTTTAAGGGTTAAAAGACAAAGAAGGGAAGTAACCCCAGAGAGGGACTTGCTACCTGAAGTCATTATGGAGGGGGGATTCCCCTTCCAAACAATAACCCCAACTCCCTCTCCCCTCCTGCCTTCTTCCATATGCCAACAAGTCTTCAATAAAGGTATGTAATGTTTATATTCATTTATCATTGTTTTTTGTATGTAAAACTATATTTATTCTTTAAAAAATGAATTTTTGGTAAATATTTTTGGGTGTGTGGAACGGATTAATTATATTTACTTTATTTCTCATGGGAAAAATTTATTCGATTATCAGATATTTCGGTTTTAGAACCACCTTCTGGAATGGATTAAGTTTGAAAACTGGGGTTCTGCTGTATATAATAAGTGGGATATATTGTTTGAGATGTATATTGAATGTATAAGTTGTATTAAATATACAGTAGACTGTGGATGGAGTTAATGGTAGTTGCGTTCCTCAAAATAGCTGATAATCAGAAGACTGTGTAGACTGAACTAAAGAATATATGAGGAAAAATAGAATTTGAGGAACTTAAGAAAAAGAACACAATGTTATGGTAATTAATAACCATTTTTTCTCGAGTTTCCAATCTGTGTGTATAACTTTTTTCATTTTTAAGCGTCTCAAGATTGTTTTTTTTATAAATTTCATTAATTAAAGAACTCCTCAATTATTTATAATTTTTATTTAACAAATGCATATTTAGTGCCATGTATTGTGTCAGATATATTAAGTTTAATATTTACATTGAATGCATATTGTCATATTTTGCAGTGTATATTAAGAAGATGGACACTGACGATGATGTTAGTACCCTAGAGGAGGAGGAGGAAGAGGTATCCCTGCTGTGCCAGGATGAGGAGGCAAAGAAGCTATCCCTTTTGAGTCGAGAGAAGGAAGAAGAGGTATCCTTGCTGTGCCGAGACAAGGAGGTGAAAAAGAAGGTATCCCTTTTGAGTCTAGAGAAGGAAGATGAGGTATCCCTTTTGTGTCGAAAAGATGAGGAGAAGGTATCCCTTCCATATCGGGAGAAGGAAGAAGAGGTATCCCTGCTGCATCGAGAGAGAAAGGGGAATATATCCCTTCTGCACCGCGAGGACGACCAGCAAGAGGTATCCCTGGTGTGTCATTCCAAGCCTAACTGTGATCCGGCACTCTCTCGTCGGTGCCACTCTCCGGCACCGTCGTGTCCCTCTCCCTGCTGTTGCAACTCTCAGCAATCATCACACCTTCCTGCTCACTCATCAACTTCCTCTCTTGATGATCTTCTCTCCTCTGACAATGAAGGTATTGCATCACTGCTTTTCCCATCTTCAGCCTTCTATATGTCTCTGTCGTATACACTCACTTCTCGTATAAAGCTCTCTATATACAGTCACTTCTCTTATAAAGCTTTCTGTATACAGTCACTTCTCATATAAAGCACTTTGTATACACTCACTTCTCTTATAAAGCTCTTTGTATACACTCACTTCTCTTAAAAAGCTCTTTGTATACACTCACTTCTCTTAAAAAGCTCTTTGTATACACTCACTTCTCTTATAATATAAAGCCCTCTGTATACAGTCATTTCTCTTATAAAGCTCTTCTATGTACCTTTAATGTATCTTTGTACCTGTGATGACTTCTGAGAGTTTTTTTACTCTCAGAGCCCAGCCATGGGCCACACTCCTCTGGTGCTAGGCCTGGTCAGCCAGGCTGTTGCTGCTGGAGGCCTGCTGCCCCACATATCCACCACAGCCTGGTTGATCTGGCACCTAGTGAAGATACTTGCCCAGTTTCCTCTTGAAATCTTCTACACTTGTTCCAGCCGTGTTTCTGATATCTTCTGGTAAGATGTTGAATAATCTGGGACCTTGGATGTTGATACAGTGTTCCCTTATTGTACCCACTGTACCCCAGCTCCTCACTGGGTTTATTTTGCACTTCCTTCAATATCTCTCGCTCCAGTATATTGTTATGGCAGTGTGCAGATTTGGGACCAGGCTGTCAAGTGCCTTCCAGGTATATATTATCATGTATCTCTCTCCTCCACTCCTGTGAGTACATATTTAAGACTTTAGGTGTTCCCAGTAATTTAAATGCTTTATTGGCCCTATGCAAGCCATAAACAATGTCTGTATTTGTTCCAACTGATATTTCTCCTGCCATGAGCAATACTGTTCCAGCTCTGATATTTCTCCTCCTGTGAACAATACTGTTCCAGCTCTGATATTTATCTTATAAAGCTCTCTATATACACTCCCTTCTCTTATAAAGCTCTTTGTATACACTCACTCCTCTTATAAAGCTCTCTATATACTCTCACTTATAAAACTCTCTATATACAGTTCTCATATGAAGCACTCTATATACAGTCAGTTTTCTTATAAAGCTCTCTACATACACTCACTTCTCTTATAAAAGTCTCTGTATACAGTCAGCTCTCTATATACAGTCAGTTCTCTTATAAAGCTCTCTGTGTACAGTTCTCTTATGAAGCTCTCTATATACAGTCAGTTCTCTTATAAAGCTCTCTATGTACAGTCAGTTCTCTTATAAAGTGCTCTATACACATTCTCATATAAAGCTCCTCTGTATACAGTCAATTCTCTTACAAAGCTCCTCTACATATAGCCATTCTAATATGCAGTCATGAATGGGTTGATGTTATTTATACAATTATTACAGTATTGCAGTAGTCTGCATAATAGTAAGTCTTCTATTTTTTGTTTGAATAAAAATTCAAAATAGAAAGCAAGAGTAATATCAGAGGGACCTGGAGACATGACTGATGAGCAAAGAAAATGTTATTTTAGAGCCAGGAATGTCTACATTGTTCATTCTGGACCTTATTTTGAAATTGTCATACAGTGGACTCCCGGTATTCAATATTAATCCGTTCCTGAGAGCTCATCGAATACCGATAATATCGAAAACCGAATCAATTTTCCTCATAAGAAATAATGGAAATAAAATTAATCCATGCAAGACACCCAAAAGTATGAAAAAAAATTTTTTTTACTACATGAAATATTAAGTTTAATGTAATAGAATAATTACAATAACAATAAAATAATTGACACTTACCTTTAATGAAGATCTGGTGATGATTGATGGGATGGGAGGAGGGGAGAAGTGTTAGTGTTTCGAAGGGGAATCCCCTTCCATTAGGACTTGAGGTAGCAAGTCCTTTTCCGGGGTTACTTCCCTTCTTCTTTTAATGCCACTAGGACCAGCTTGAGAGTCACTGGACTTTTGTCGCACAACATAACTGGCAGCCTCACCATGCCTAATCACACTATGTATGCCACTACGATTCTTAAATCTTTCAAACCAACCATTGCTGGCCTTAAATTCACTCACATCACCACTAGTTGCAGGCAGTTTCTTTACCAAATCGTCATGCAACTGCCTAGCCTTTTCACAAATGATCGCTTGAGAGATGCTATCTCCTGCTATCTGTTTTTCATTTATCCACACCAGTAACAATCTCTCAACATTTTCTAGCACTTGCGGTCGCTGTTTCATAATCACAGTTGCACGCACCTTTTGCAAGAACAGCTTCCTTGATTGCCGTTTTCCTGGTCACTATAGTAGAGATGGTTGATTGGGGTTTATTATACAACCTGACCAGCTCCGACACATGCACTCTACTTTCGTACTTTGCAATTATCTCTTTCTTCATTTCATAAGTCATTAGCGACTTTTTTCTCGAAGGGTTGGCACTAGAAGCTTTCTTGGGGCCCATGGTGACTTATTTTGCAGAAACAAGCACCAAACACAGTGATAATATGGATAATATGGAATGTACCGAATGTATCCTTAGATGCGCGCACACTGGCTGGCTTGTAAACACTAGCACACACGGAGCAGTTCAGGCCACACGTGGACAGGTCTCATACGAATCGTATCGAATACCCGGGTTTTCAATCGAATACCGAGGAAAAATTTTTGCGTTAAAATGCATCGAAAACCGGATTTATCGAATACCGATACCATCGAATACCGGGGGTCCACTGTATATTAAACAACCATGGTGACATTACACATCCCTGTCTAAGACCTACTTTTACTGGGAAGTAGTCTCCCTCTCTTCTATACACCCTAACCTGAGCCTCACTATCCTCATAAGAACTCTTTACAGCATTTAGTAACTTACCACCTATTCCATATACTTGCAACATCTGCCACATTGCTCCTCTGTCCACTCTATCATATGCCTTTTCTAAATCCATAAATGCAATAAAAACTTCCCTACCTTTATCTAAATACTGTTCACATATATGCTTCAATGTAAACACTTGATCTACACATCCCCTACCCACTCTGAAACTTCCTTGCTCATCCGCAATCCTACATTCTGTCTTACCTCTAATTCTTTCAGTTATAACCCTACCGTACACTTTTCCTGGTATACTCAGTAAACTTATTCCTCTATAATTTTTACAATCTCTTTTGTCCCCTTTCCCTTTATATAAAGGGACTATACATGCTCTCTGCCAATCCCTAGGTACCTTCCCCTCTTTCATACATTTATTAAACAAAAGTACCAACCACTCCAACACTATATCCCCCCCTGCTTTTAACATTTCTGTATTTAACATTTCGTGTATTTATCCAACCTAAATTTGAAACTACCCAAGCCATAGCTTTTAGAACATAAGAAAGGAGGAACACTGCAATAAGTCTGTTGGCCCATACTAGGCCAGTCCTTCACAAATCCAACCCACTAACAGAACAAATGCTACCCAAGCAATATGCTCAGGTGCAAGTCTGACTCAAATCCAACCCCTCTCACTCGTGTATTTATCCAACCTAAATTTGAAACTACCCAAGCCATAGCTTTTAGAACATAAGAAAGGAGGAACACTGCAATAAGCCTGTTGGCCCATATTAGGCCGATCCTTCACAAATCCAACCCACTAACAGAACAAATGCTACCCAAGCAATAAGCTCAGGTGCAAGTCCGACTCAAATCCAACCCCTCTCACTCATGTATTTATCCAACCTAAATTTGAAACTACCCAATGTTTTAGCTTCAATCACCCTACTAGGCAGACCGTTCCACTCATCAACTACCCCTATTACCAATGTTCATTTATACATTTTATTAGTGCTTTACATTTATTTGGCATTCTTTTCTGCATGTAAATATATATTTATGCTAGGGAAGTGACCCCTGAAGTAACCTAGAGTCCTTATGGAGGGGGATTCCCCTTCCAAACAATAACCTCTCTTCCCTCTCTCCTCCTCCCTGTCTTCCATTCATCAACAACAGCCTTCAATAAAGGTAACTGTCATGTTGAATGTTCATTCTTTTGTGCATGTAAATCTATCTTTTAGGTAAAAAAAAATTGTTGTTGATACTTCTGGGTGTCTGGAACGAATTGATTGGATTTACATTATTTCTTATGGGGAAAATTGATTCGAAAATCGTCTATTTCGATAATATTCCCACTTCCAGGAATGGATTAAGGACGATAATTGAGGGACCACTGTATTATTTTTTAAATGCATGTACTTGTTTTCTGATTGTTTTCATTATGTAAATCTTTATTTAATTTGAAAAAAAATATTTCATTTTAATATTTTTGGGTCTCTGGAACGGATGAATTTTATTTCCATTATTTCTTATGGGAAAAATGGTTTCGAGTTTCGTGAATTTCGACTTTCGGCAGGCTCTCTGGAACGAATTAATCACGAAACTCGGGGGTCCACTGTATATCCTTACCTCACCTGTGGTATTTGTGCCTAGGGCTCAACCACTGCCAACCACCTTAGACCCTTAATAATCCAACAAAAAGCTGCTGTGTAGGAGATAACCAGCTCCTGTCCTAGACAGCACACCCCACCACTTTTCAAAAGACTCAGCTTGCTAAATATACAAGACATACACTCTTATTATTGTGCCTACTACATATACAGAACTTTAAACTCCACTGTAAACCCTCCCCTAAAACTACTCCTTGACAGTTACAACAGAGTGCACAGTCACAACACAAGGCATGGGGCACTTTTCAACATCCCTCGAGTCAGACTTTCACTATGCAAGAACACTATGCACATAAAAGGCCTGAAGATCTGGAACTTGCTACCGGAACAGGTCAAGGATCCCCTGACAGCTTATAAATTTAGGACTTTGCTAAAAAATCATCTTATCTCACAATATTAACCAAATCAACCAAACATCTGCTAACTAGTTTTATCATGTGACCTCTAGGCTCTTAATTCTTCCAATCCATAAAATTGTTTTGTTTCTCATTATTAACCAAATTTGCCAAAACATCTGCTAATTAGTCTTATCA